AGTAGTAGTAGTAGTAGTAGTAGTAGTAGTAATTTCGTGCGTATATGCTTTTGATGCGCGTTAGCGTTGTCATGATAACAGCAGCCAAGATATGGATTACCAACGAGGTTGTTAGCATCCCCACGAAAGGATAAGCGAACCGACCATTTCTCCTCAAAGCAGTTGGTGGTGTTCTGTTTTGAAGAGTTAACAGGATGTAAAGTCAGATAATAAAAATACTTTGCGATAATCAGGTGATCAAAGTAGGTACCCCGAGGAGTTAAATTACGCCATAACAGCCTCTTTTCGTCTTGGGGTGATGCCCTGAGGGTGTGAAAGTGGTACCATTACCAGAGGAGACCTTGAGGCACCGTATTTTATATGGTATTTGTCATAAGGTAGTTCCAGTGGCGGTTAGAGGTTCCTGCGTTTCACGAGAGCTCGAGTCAAATCTAGAAGAGGTAAAACCTGATCTCTGAATAAAACCTAAGTACAGAAGTGTGCAAGGGTGAGTTGATGCCAAGGACTTGGCCAAGAGACAAAAAGGTCGTGTTGGTCCGGGTTATTCTGAAAAGTACATTGTATGGGTCAGTTTAGCGTCTTTTTTGGAATGGTTGCCGTTGCTTTTCTATTTCAAGCTAATATCCAGAAGTAAGATACGGGTTGTCTATTTTGGGTTCATATTAAAAACGCTACGTCCCATTCAGTGCTTTTGAAAGTACGGCTGTGAAAGGGAAACCCTCTCCACAGTCGATTATTTGATGCATCAGTTTTTCAATAGTTCGTGCGATCCTGCGTCAACACAATGGCCCGAACTGCCTGTTGATTGTTGAACATATGAATAGTGAGAAGGAAATTTTTCATTGGCTGCTGTTATGGAAAGTACTATGCTCTATATGTATTACAGTGTTTCCATCTAAAACGTTTAACAGATGCTGTTGAGNGAGTTCAGGAGCAAATATTCATAGGAGTGGGAAGGGGGGTTAAGTGGCCTCAGATACGGTAGTCAGTAACTGACCATATGTTCAGCTGATTTATCTTTTTTCAGTTATTTCCAAGATGTCCTGTCAAATGTCGATGCGGGTGCTGTGGAAGTGGAGCTGTTGGTGGATGGCTCTTATAGAACAGTGAAATCTGAATGTATTGATGTGGATTCGGATGATACGGACGAAAAGCCATGCACAAACAGCGGCATAGCTAGCGGTTCTGGAACGGGTGCTACCTCATCAAAACCGAAAACTACCTGCGATGACGACATTATCGGTTAGTCTGAGGTTTACCAGTATGAGTTATGTGCCTCACATCAATATTTTCAGTGCTTTCTGATTCGGATGACGATGAACAGCAAGCAGTTGAGCGAGCTATTCGCGCTTCAATGGTTGACAGCAGTACAACTCGTTCGGGTAATCCACCGGTATCACCGACGCCTCGTTCTCGGGATAGTTCTATAATAATTCTGGACGATGATAGCCCTCCACGGCCACCACATCCTGCTGCTCCGGCGCCAAGTAACAATGTGAGTTTTTTCCCTGTATTTCATTTCGTGATACACTACTGGTAAGGTAAAGTTAGGCGCTTGCAGGTAAGCCATGAAATGTGCCTGAGAAGTGGAAAATTGAAAATCGCTTCTTAAGTATCGGGCAGAGTCATAGATAACATCTTGTTTCAATAAAAGTATTGTTTTATAGTTTTCTTTTTATTCTTCAAGGTGAAGAGGGATTGGAAAGGAGGCTGAAAAAGACCTCCATTTCCGGATTCACGCTTTTAGTTGCTCTCGTTTTATTATTTTCGTCGTTAAGACCTTTCTACATGCTAAACTGGATGACGAAAAGTCCAGAATAGACAATCATTGCAGAATTGTGTTCTAGAACACCATTTTATTGGGAAAAACTAAACCAAAACATTGATTTTCTTCGTGAAACATTCTGCAGGCCTGTGATTGGTGGCTACTCTTATTAGCCAATCACAGAGTGGCGGAGTCCTGTTCAGCTACCTACTAGCCCCGCCCACTCTATGAGCCGACCTTGCCATCAAGTAGTAGAATTGGAATGAAAATCAGACGTGATCTCTCGATTGGGACCATAGAAGGCAAGGATTGTATTAGACAGTCGAGAGGATATTTTCGAAATAAGGTCAACATTCTAAGTCAGGTACTCTGGGTCCGCCAGTCCACATGCGACCAACTGTTTCATGTTACCAGTTGGGCACATGAGTTGCCAGATAGGAGCGTCACTTCTCGACCAAGCAATAGATGTTTGGCAGCTGGATAATGTGGCTGGAATTCTGATTGCATCAGTTTGAATTGAAACGTTTCGTCCACGGTCAAAATCCAGTTTACTTTATATACCTAAAAGTTAGAAAAAGAATCGTTTAGTGGGAGATGATCAGTAAGGAGAACTTCAAAGATCATCTTCAGACATCTACACACGCCTCATCGACGTTACCATCGATCTCAACGCAGCCCCCTTCGGTCACATTCGCTGCCCCACCAACGTCCACAATGACAATCAGTAATGGTGATGGTGTGATGGCTAGTCGTGTGCCTACAATTCAGCCGCATAACGTACTTGCTGGTCATGTAGGTTACTTAGTAATAGTTTTTCAAATAGATCTATTTTTTGATAAAAACAAATGCATAAATAGGAATCCGTTGGTTGGTGAGCAATCCTTAAATCTCTCCCATGGGGATGTGAATAGAGATAGCAAAATCCCATTGGGATGTGAATAGAGATAGCAAAAATGTGGATAGAGTTGACTTGATTCGGGCGAGAACATCAGCTCTGGGAACAGGGCCAATGATTTAGAACCCTGAACATATACAAGAATGAAGTTCCCGTATGGGAACCCATTGCTTACTCTGACTTTGCGGTGGAATAAAATGCAACGGACGCAGATTTTCACAGACGGCACATTCCTTTTACGGCGTAATTTAGTTTGATTTTACAAACACCCAACCCCTCGTATATATTACGCATTGTAAAAGGACCATGAGCAGAGAGACAAGGTGGGCTGGCTGTCGAGCCGCGGGGCTGTCTTGCTTCACGACCATTTGCTCCAGCCAGCAAAAAACTCTGAAACAAGCTCTATGACGTCTTTGGGGGTTTCGATTGAGTTGAGGGCTTTTACCTAACTCTTAACGCTGAATATGAAAGGGAAACATAAGTAAAAGATTTAGTTACAATGTTATATTTTTAGCAGAGTCTCTACAACAGCAGTGGTGCGTTGTCCTATTACCACCAATCGCAATGGAGTCAACCGGCTGCGTCACGTCCACAGTACCCACCACCTCCGACGGGAACTCTAAACGCGGGTGCATCGTTCACAGCGGCTTACAAGCAACAACTGGGAAGTCTGCTTGGACGTTATCAAGCGACGAACAACCCAGCAAATTTGTCGTTCAATTACGCTACGGCCACTGCACCACCAGCACAACAGCAGCAGCAGACGTTCGCACCGGGATCGAACTTGCAGCAAGTATTGGCGTCGCTTGTTCAACAATCCCAGTACAACAACGGTAGTGGTGGTAATGTTCCGTTGACTCAGTGAACTTAAACACCTTGTATTAATATTACTTCATGTCTTGGTACTGAATGTAGCCGGTTGAAACGGTGTCTGAGCTTCCGATGAAATGTACGCTTCCGTCTTGATACTCATTATTTTGAGTACTGTTACTGTATTGTATAAAATAGATCTGTTTCGTTAGGGCAAATACTCACTACCGGATTGCATGCCTCCCTGTGATGTTGTTTTAATCGCAGCTTTATCTGGCTTCTCCTATTTGACTGACGCGAGGTTCATACTGGCTAATTCTGAGCCGTGGCGATCGATACCGAAGGCGGAGTCTCGCGCCTTTTTTGAATGTAACGATCAATACCGTCCAAATTAGTGCCTAGACCCATTCCTGCTTGATATGACGATCGTTGAAGAGGCTAAGCTGAGATTCTGATAACATCACAGGTTGCCTGAGAGTCCAATGAGTTGTGTGTGTATTTGTGTGAGGCTGTTTCGTTTGTTTCCCAATCCGATCGATTTTCTGAGCGATCACGTGCGTGCGCGCGCGATTACAGAAAAATCGATTGCCATACTTCCTCACGTTAGCTGTAATTGGTAGAGTACTTGTGGGTATTTTTTGTGTGTGAATGTGTGAGGAAAGTGAGATCTGTATCATGTATAATGTTACAATTATTTTTCGCTGTTCCTTGATTACTGACACGTGTATGTTCTCTTTGTATTTATTGATTAATTGATTTTTTCTCGGGAGAAGTGAAGAAGGATAATGCTGCAACGTAGTAGTTCAAAATCGAACCAATCGATGAGGTTAAAATGTTGTGTATTTGGTCAGTATAAGTGTGTTTTCATGTCTTTTTATCACTTTTTTATCACTATGTCTCTCTCGCTCTTATTTTTCTCTGTATACATGCAATATACATTGAAATTGAAGAATAATTTTGATAAACTTTATATTAATAATCTTATAATTTTTCACACTCGCACATAATATACTGGACACGGGAGCATTGTAATTATACATGGAAGGAGAGACGCGGGGAAAGAGAGAAAGAGGGAGAGATACAACTATCTCACATACTTCATAAACAATAAACAAAATGTAAACACCTACTAGATGGAATAGAATCGATTTCATATACCGGGATGATGTGGGAAATGGTGGGACCTTGGAAAAAAGGGAGACCGGGGTTCTTTGCCAATGGACTGTGGGGACAGAGCGCTACTAAGGAAAGGGTTAGGGAAATAGGAACAATACAAAAAAAATGAGAATGGTGGGAGATTTGATGATGTGATGATGATGATGTTGATGACACGCCCAGAGAATGTAGAAAGATACAGTGTGGGTGGGTATTTGTTGGGGGGACGATGAACAAAGTACTATATCGAAAAGACAACAAACGAAGAAATGAGAAGCGCTTAGTTGACTGTAAAGGGGTTGTGTCGACCATTCCGGGGAAGTTACGAGAATTCTTCAATATGTGGGTGGGCGTGATCAGAACGATGTTCAGAACCCGACGAAATCCACCCCTTGTGGGAGCCATTGGACGGCGTTCAGGTCAGTTGCTGTGGTCGCCAATCGGCAGCGGCGGTAGCTAAACGTTGCCGTTTTTCCGGTGGACTATGAGGTTCTAATTTAACATACGGGGATTGCTGTTGTTGTTGTTGTTGCTGCTGCTGTTGTTGTTGTTGCTGCTGTTGTTGTTGTTGAGGCGGTGGCTTGTGCTGTAGTGCAGCAGCCCATAACGGCTGATCAGCTGTAGACCGTGGTGCTACGAGTTCACAATCGGCATCGGCAGCCGCTAACGGATGTTGCTGTAGTGATGGTGTATTTGATGAATCGTATGGAAATGAACTGGTAGTGGGAAATTCGATGTGCTGTTTAGTGGGTTCAGGGCGTGGGCGATATTGTGGATGAAGGAAGAGATTGGTGTAGAGCGGATGAATGGCGGCAGCAGGCGGTTGGGGTGCAACTGTAGGTGGCTGTTGATCGTTAACATTCAATGAAGCATGACCGTTCATAGGAGTTGAAGGACCAGGACTGTCGTCATCCGAATCGCCACCACCACCATGTTTTGACTCCTTTCGTTGAAGGGCCTGAAAGGAAGAGAATGGGTATGGGCATTCTGAAAGCAGCAATCATGTACAGTACCCTTCAACTTGCGGGTGGAGCTGGTAAGCTCAGCATACTCCCCATTGGTTGGAAATCGCGCAGTTCGTTAGCCCACCAATGAGGATTACGCCAGGGCTAGCCAGCTGTACCCCAACACTACAGAGTGCTTTCAAAGGTCACTGACTACAATTACCAACTTCCTCCATTGAGCCCAAGCCATTTTTGTCCAGAATTGATCTTTTTGCATTGAATAATATAAAAAAAAACACAGTGACGTCATAGCTCACCTCCATTATGTCCGAATTTGTACGACTTTCATGGGGTTCGTTGTATTCTGTATATTTGAGCAACACTTTGTCCATATCGGTGGATGCATATCTGTAAAATAATCCGATCAATATGGAAATTTTGATTCTGTATAGTAATCCTAAGTAAGGAATGGTAAACAATAAACAATAACAATGACATGAACTACATACACGTAAATTGAAGCCATAACATGAACGAAATAATAAAAATTAATCAAAGAAGTCATGATTGTTCGCTCTAAATAATCGATAACTGTGTAGGTAAGAGGGCAACTCGTCCCTCGGCACTCCTAGCCGGAGTTGGGTGGCCTACTTAGGAGCGGGAGAATCACAGGACATATAGTCTTAATATACAAAGGCGGAGGGCTTATTATAAGCTCTCAGAGGCTTGCAAGTCGCTTATTCATCCCGAGAAGTAGTCCCGTGCTCTTCTGATTGAGAGCAGTCTGCTCTCATTATGGATTACTCGCGGCCGCCATTTATCGATTGCTCGCCACTCGACCGATTACGAAATCCTTTGGTTATACTTCACTGATTACTATGGAATGAGTGCGCTTGCTAATGTAGGCACAACCAAAAAGCTGCACAATCTTCGGATTTCTTCAAAGCCCTGCATATCTTTGTTGAACAGCCGTCCTGGCATGAAAAGTGACTTCCCTTCATTCATCTGTCTCTGTCCACTTAACTACTATGATGGCGGCTGCTCCTGCTGCTAGTTCTTTCAACGGCTACGGCTGCCTCCTCCACAGCCGCAAGCGACAGTTGCTCCGAGCCAATTGATTGCCCGGTTATCATACATACATACAAACATTACAGAGATCTTTAGCTTATCAGTCGTTAAAACGCTATCGGTGAGAGGAAAGCCTGGGGCCATCCTGTTTGGCCGGGGCTACGGATCTATTGAGTGGTTACAGTTGCCAAATAGCCATCCCCAAGGAAATCTGAACAAGGTGATTGTCTGTTCTGATCAGTGATTTTGACCTACGATCAATCATGCCCTTTACGGCAACGCCTTCCAGGTCGGCTTGACCCCAATCGATCGCGCAATGGGATAATCTTCCAGAAAATTCTGCTCGGTGAACCTGATGGATT